GGCGTCAACAAAATCAAAGAATACCAATACTTGCATAACAAAACAGAGCAAAGAACGAAATTGAGAGGTCCAGAAAACAATTCTTGGATCATAAACAGCAAGCAAGGCCAATAAACCGACAAGAGACTAGGCAGCTTGGCAGTCCTTAAATACATAGCAGGCTTGATTGGTAAATGCGCAACAGGTGCGCCTGCTGGCGGGAAACTCCCTTCACTCCAGCTGGGCCTGAAAACAAAACAGACAGACAGACATAAATCTTGGGACTTGTCTTCATGCCGATGATACACAGAGCTGGAATGTAAAAACCAGGATGTAAGTGAAACCCATTACAAAATCACCCTACAGTCATTGTTTTCTGGAGTCATAAAAGCGGAATTAGAAGATTTAACATTCAATAATCTCATGAAAAACTAGGCCGTGCTTGAAATACTTCCTGTTTTCGTTCTGTGCTGGTGGTCTACAGTGGAATTACACCAAACATGGTCAACAAAGTTATTTAACTGTGCGGGGGGGAAATCTGGAAATTAGCAGCGCTGTCAACTAAGAAAGAAAAAAGGGGGTTTACTGTGCTGAAAAAATTAGGAACACCTTTTAAAAAAAATGAAACTAGCGAGAAAGGTAAACCAAAAAAAACGGTGGGAAACGAGTGACAATCTCCCCGCCAGTGGTTTTGGAATGAATCGCAAGAGCCATTGAGAGGCGGTCCAATGAGATGCTTGTGTGTGACTTTTATTTAGAAAGGGCGGGAAGGCGGGGGGTGGTCTGGTCCTTGTCCAATTTAAGGCAAGAAGAGCACGGATGAAATAGAAGAGGAATCGAGGAGAGAAAGGGAGTGATGCTTGGCAGATTGGGTGATAAATCTTGTTCTGATCAGGTTTCTCTGGTGCCCTCACCCCTCACTCTCTTTCTAGGGGTAATTAATCAATCCCAGACTGCGGCCATTGATCGCCCCCTACACCCCGCTCCCCCCCTCTCGCAAGCCCTCTCAGTCATGTTTACACTTCTCGATTGTGTTTGCCACTAAGCCCCTCGACGCTGCTCAATCTCGCCGGCGCCAGATTGTGACACCGCGCCCTCGGACGCCGTCAAACCAAACAAACCATCGATTGACATCTCCATGAAAATCGATCGACTTATTCTGTCTTTTTATCATAATCCTTTGTGGTCATATTGTGCGGCACGGCTTGGACATAAACTTTTTGGATTGTGGTCACCGAGCGATTCCCTGTAGACCACGTCGCTCTGTCAACATTGACACAAAGGCTTTGATGTTGAAGCGCTTTTATGTGGACCCTTTTGATATTAGCAGGCTCTTGACTAGTTTGAATGGGACACAAACGTCATTTTTGAAGATGGGACGAGTATGAAGTCACACAACAACAGAGCGTAAAACGTTTGAATATGATATAAATGATGAAACTGACAAAAACAATGCAAAAATGATAGCCAAGAAGACAATTTAAAATGTACACTATATTGAAAATGAAAAAAAAAAAAATTAAAAAATAACAGTAAAAAAACTATTTAATATGCACAATTTTGAAAATGACAACAAAAATACTGTAAATACAATCACAAAAAATGATTACAAAAATAAAAAAGATATCAATAAATCAATTTTAAAAAACGACCTAACAATGAAAAGGGTAATATACAAAATAAGATAATTTTAATAAATGGCACAAATTATAAAATAATGAGAAAAATGGTTTACAAATGAAAATAAATAAAACAAAAAGTAAACAAACCATCACAGCATGGTTACAACACTAAACGATAACAATAACATTGATACCAATTAAATGATTGGAAACAATCTATAATTCAAACACAATCAAACGATAAAACACTGACCACTGCCACTCAGCACGAGTGTCGTCAACCACTATCAAATTTGAGCCGCTGAGAGCGATAGAGTGGACTCACTCCGTTTTTGCCGTCTTGCAGGAGAGTGATTACAAGTTTAACGACTGCAACAACATGCATAGCTTGATGTTTTGTACGGCAACAATTACTTCTTTGGGATACTTATTTATATTGACTTTGTGGATTTGCATCAGATTTTGCCCGATGTAACAATTCCTGACGTGGATTATATTTGATTATATTGCTTGCACTTTTATTCCAAACGGAGTTACCGTCATCTCGGTCAAGGGTCACCAACCCCGCTCCTCGAGGGGCCCCTATCCACTGTGTTTTCGATGTCTCCCTAAACACACCTAATTAAAATGATCAGGTCATCAGCAAGCTCCGGAGAAGCACGTTTAAAACATGTGACTTCTAAGCCATGTGAGCTTGAACTCCAAAGACTCATTGATAAGAGCGGCGCCGCCAGGTTCGCGTGGCCAAAGTGAGCGCATCATATGATTCACCTTCTCTCCTAGGCGGATGACGTGTGTGGTTTGGAGAAAGCAAAAAACCTGATCTTTTAATTCATTTTGTAACTGGAAGCGCCGCGTGAGCTGTGCTTGCCGGAGCCATGCTAAAAAAAGAAAGCATGTCCAGTAGCTGGCTGGCAGGGCCATTGTCGGGCAGGGTGTGCTTACAATGTTATATATACAATGTACTGTATATATTTTATAGTATGAACATTTTTGGGGGACCTATTATAAAAGTTTTTGTGGGGGAGGATAGAATTTGATGGCAGTCTGAATCAAATGCTGTTGTGGGCAGTTAATGGTCCACGTTGACCAGGGCACCGCCTATTTGTGGGGAACAGGGACAGAACCCAGGTGCGGCGAGTGAAAATCTGCGAAAAATTGGTTGCTGCTCACTCACTGGTGGAGACCCCATATGGTGCATGATATTGTTATTTCACATTCCCTGTTGCAGTTTAAGAGGGTCATTGTGATCTTTAGCCCGCATGTGCACACAAACTCGAATAGTGACCAGCTGGATAGAAACCAGTGTGTGGTTTAAACACAATTGCCTTGATTTGTCTCTTGAATGAACAAATAATTGTATTTTTTTCAAATTTCTAATCCTGATAAACAATCATAATTACAGCTGCTCCACCTCAACCATGATTGCAACTCGGCGAAGGACACAGGAGCAGCTTTGAGTGGGTGGCGTGATATGGCAATCCGTTCCGTCGCCCCCTGTGGAGCGGCGCTGTGGAGTCCAGCTTTTTGCTTTGGCCTTTCTGCAAGCAGCAGAACAAGAGATGGAAGGAAGGAGGAGAAAGTGAGTAACTAAAGGACAAACAATTACGAAACGCTAATATGTAACAAAAGAACACAGCCCGACATTTATCCTTTGATGCGTGTGTTTGGTTATTAAACAGTCTGTTTTACTTTTTTTTACAAAAGTAGTAATGTTCATTTTTTTAAACTCAATGGATTTGTCTGTTCCATAGTTAAGGATTTTGCAAGGTAATGCATTCATACGTACAGATGTACGGTATGAGGCAGGTGATAACAACACAAGGCAAGAATAATTAAAATACAAAACACCCACAACGGCACAACACGCCCGCTTATAAATACGCCTGCCTTGCGGAGGTCTGTGAAAATACCACAATTTAGTCTAGCCTGCCCCTGCGCATATTTAGACCAAACCTCTTGCCAGACTTGCACTGGACACAAACATAGAACCCGAAGTACAAAGAGTTTAAAGTCCTCCACCCTCGCTATCCTCATTAGCCTCACTCTTCCTCTTCCAGCCCTCTCATTCACACGCATATATTCTGTTTTACTTCTGCTAATCTTCATTTCTCTCCTTTCCAAAGCATACCTCCACCTTTCTAAATGTTCATCCACCTGCTCCCTGCTTCCATTACTCATCACAATGCCATTTGCCAACATCATGGTCCATGTGGATTCCAGTCTAACCTCATCTGTCAGCCTGTCCATTACTATTGCAAAGAGGAAAGGGCTTAGAGTTGATCCCTGATGCACTCCCACCTTCTTCTATAGCACACCTGACCAATGTTCTGCTACACTCACATCCTGGACTATTCTAACATAATTCTCTGTCACTCCAGATATCCTCATGCAGCACCGCAGTTCCTCCCTGGGTACCCTGCTTGCTCTGCATGAAAAAGAGTTTGACAAATAATTAAGCTGCAGTAATTGTTAGTTAGTTTGTTTGTTTGTTTTACAGAAGGTAAAGAATTATGCCTGTGAGTATTGTTACATTGGCTGTTTAAATGTTTTGCAACATCAATTTAACGTTGTACTATCAGGACAAAAATGTTAGTTTCATTAGCCCATTTATGCTGTTTCAAATTGTGTGTTCGCATTAAGCTGAGCCATGGCTCCTATGTAGAAAAACTCTTAAGAGAAGTTCGAGTGACAACAATCTAGCCCCGGAATGGACAGCAATTGCTAAATTTCATGCTGAAGGTGCCACTGTAATGATGTGCGCAATCCATACCGACTGCATCACAGCTTTTACAGAGTTTACACAGTAAACAAGTCCCAAATGCCCCTGAAAAAAAAAGCTCAATATGCACACTCATTTATTTATTTCTATACAGTATCTTTCAAAGCTTTTATGAGAGAGCAGCAGTGTCACCTTCTGTTGTCTCCCACCTCCTCCAACACCTTCTGTCATCATGTCCACAGGTGTATCACAATAATAAACGCGTCCCACCTTGACTCTGTCCGGGCCACTTCATTAGCTATACTCGCAAAATCCAATACATTGAGAACTTTATTTATTTCTTGCTACTGTGTGACTCATATTGCCTTGTGCTGTCGAGAATGTATCCCGCCTCTTGCCCTAAACGCAGAGGTGTGTAGACTTTTTATAACCATTGAATACACGATTAGTCTTAAATTTGGGGGTCGCTTGGAAATATCATTTTGAAAGAACAAACAAAGCTGCTTTTTTTAACCCCGTTCGCAATATTTAGGGTATATTTCTGCTTAGTTTCATGTTACAAATTGTTAAAAAAAAATAAAACAAAATGGTGCTGTAGTGGTAAACTTTCTTTCCACAAGGAAACACAATTTTTCATATCATCTGTAAAGAATTTTTAGCGTCTTTCTGTTACACGTGGGGAAGTTGATGCCGCATGGGAACACCCCTCCCCCCCCAAAAAAAAAACATTTCAAAGATTGTTTGGTGCCGGCAGAAATTAAGTTCTAGAATGGGAACAAAAAGCAAACTTGATTTAAATCATGCCATTTGCGTTTTTGTAAAGGGACAAATATTTTTTTAAGCCGCATCCAAAAATGTCAAAAGATGTTAATGTTTAGATTTGCTCATTTAACAATAAATTCAGGATCTGTTCCTAATATTATGACCCACTCATACGGCTAACATCAATGCAACGCGGATAACTTCATAGTGATGGACATATTTTAACAAAGGTGTGCTTTTTAAACTTGCAGGTGTACCTAATGAAATGGCCCCGTCTCCGGGCTAATGAAAGACCCACTCGAGGATCCATCGAACTGTGACCCCTACCCCCTCCCCAAACGAGACACCCCACCCCAAGCCTTCATACACGTCATCCATATTTCATGCAGCATCCCTCTCTTTCTCTCTCTCTCATCTCCGTCTTGTGGACTTCTCGCACCCTCACACATTCTATTAGACAATCCGTGCGCCATGTTTTATTCATGTCCTCTGAACATCTGCTTGTCCAGATGTCAGGAATCATCAGACACCCACCACCCCGCCTTCCCTCTCCTCAAGGGACCGCTGCCTTGACTGGCTGTAAATGAACGTCAAAAGCGGCTGTCAGGCCCGCCGGAGGAATCTTTCATGACTTTTGGGCCCGAGGTGAGTACACTTTGCCGCACATGAAAGTCAACAATGGACACCCCTTCAATTCAGCCCCTGTTTGAAATGATGTTTTTTTTTGTGGATGATTGTAGTAACGGCGGTTGGTGGGCTTTTGACACGGCCGTGGTCCACGAGGCTTGCCCGACTCACTGGAACTGTGTGGAGAAAAAAAAAAAAAAAGGGAGTGAAAAAGAAAAGAGGCAAACAAGTACCCTCGGACTGACTCACAGCCACGGCAGTATGTCACACTGCGCCTTTATGTACTATATTCTCCCTCTTGCTCGCCACCCTCACCCACTGAAAATGTGTTCTTTTCTCCAAGGTGATTAACGCTGCCATTTTTATATGATAGAAGAAACAACACTAAAATGTCAACAAACGTTATGAACGCAGCTCGGCATTCGTTGCAGTACTTCAACACGCATACGAGATGTGATTATATTAAGATAGAGTCGTAAACATAGACGAACAACCATCTGAGCTGACACTCACATCTTGGGACAATTTTCGAGTGTTCCATTAACCTGTGTCAGCGATGGGAATCGAACCCGGAATAAAAAAGTAATTTCTTTCACACTTTGTCGGAGGGTGTGACGGTGATGCTTTTATTATCTTAAGAGAGCACAAGGGTTTCATTTATAATCAATGATTTAATTTTCATTTTTACATGGTGCAAACCAGCCAGTCGTTGAGAAGTCACAACAGTAATCACGGACATCGAAATCGGAATAAAGGATTAAATTCATGTTGATTATAAATTTTTCCGGTCGTCTCAAGATAATAAAAAACAAAAAGTATTTTTAAGAAAGAATTAAAGGATAGACTATGAAGAGAAAAGTGAGAGATAAATGATAGCTGTATTGCGATAAGAGAGTAGTATAAGGAAAATATATTTTAATGAGTATAATGAGAAAAATTATAAAATAATAACATCATTGAGTATATGCGGTTCCAATCATTTGCTTTGTCTATCATCGGTGTTGTCACGTTGCGAGGTGGTGGTGAACCCCAAAAAACAGGCAGGAGGGAGAAGCAGGGTGAACTTGAAGAATAAAACACAGAAAACTAAATCCAAACAAAGTCCTAAGAACCAAACGAATCCAAAGTAGCAAACAAAAACCATGACTTAAGCAAAAAAATATCAAAAAAAAAACATGACCAAAAACATGACCTAAACATGACAAACATACACAACGGCAACAAAGAAACAAACAATGACCCGACACTGAGTGGTCGTGCTCGGAGTCTTTTTAAAGCAATAATTAGATAACGACCAACAGGTGTGCAGCTGCAGGGAGAGCCCTACAGTGCCACCTGTTGGTCACAAACAGAATCGTGACAGGTGTGCCTTTTACACATTGATCAGGTCTCTAAAACGCTCCCGAGGTTCACCTTGCCTAATTAGAAGTCGTAATTTTTAGTCTTAATCGATGATATTATCTTTATCAGTTATTTTACATTGCAATATGGGAGAATATTATTTATCTTGTGGTTCATGCATCCTTACCAATCTGTGACGGCTTCGTTTGAGCTCGTTCTTGTAAGGGTCGTTACATAAATCCACAAAAATAGGTCTCCACTTTGCAGAAAAATGCACTGCATCGGATAAAATCTCCGCAAGAATCCAATACAGGGGTCATCTTGGAATATCCAATTTGGGTAAGGAATAGAAAAGGGGAAATTCGCCATAATAGCGAAACAGAGGATGATTTTTCAGGAAATAGGAGAATTCGCAAAGGATGCTTCCCGGACGCCGGAGCGCCGGTGGTAAAAATGGGGAAGTTCCTCCAAGCTCGAGTCCTTTTCGATTTCGCAATCTATCCCTTTTTATTAGCTCTGGCCCCCGTGATGGGGCCCATCTCTGACCGAAAGTCAGACGTTGTTCTCGAATTTTCTTTTCCCCTAAGGCACATCGAGGATCTCATAGTTCAAGCAAGGTTGAGTGAGGACATGTTGAACAATCTTCTTCGGTTTGAACCAGTTGAAGGACCTTGTGTTCCAGACAAGGTCGAGTCAGGATATGTTGCACAATCCTTTCTGGTTTGAGCCAGCAGATGTCCGAGCAGGTCAAGCTGAGTGTTGGTTCAGCTTCCCAATGATAGACAGTCTATTCATGCACTGGCATACCCATGGGTGTCCTTTTTTGGGACCTCCTGGGATCACCCCCAAGACTGTCCCCCTGTGGGACAGAGTGTAAGGACGAACAGCCAGGCAAAGGTGTGAAGAACTGCCTTTGTTTTGTAAACCACTCCAAATCCCTTCCCTTGATTTTATTCGTAACCCATCGCTTGACGAGGCGCGTTACACCGACACCTGCCATGCATGTTTTTGGAATGTGGGAGGAAACCGGAGTACCCGGAGAAAACCCACGCAGGCACGGGGAAAACATGCAAACTGCACACAGGCAGGCTGAAGCCGGAATCGAACCCTGCACTTCTGCACTGTGAGGCCAATGCGCTAACCTGATCCAAAAAGTGAAAAAAAAGAAAGAAAGAAAGGAGCCCACTGAGGGTTTAAGAAAACACTTTTCCCATTATCATATGCAACATTGATTAGTGCTGCTTGAAAAGCTACGCTACATTATTCATGGGGCATCTATCTCCTTCACTTGACCATTCCAGATGATGGCGCTTATTAGCAGTGACAGTTTTGGTTTTTGTTTTTTTTTTTTGTTTTTGTTGCTTTTAAGGGCTCATGTATGAATTCGCTGGCCACTTCATTCGGTATATCTGCGCAGTTAAACTCGGTCCAATACCAAAATTTTGCCTTGACAGTGGAAGTGTTGCCCTACATTACATTCCCATTTAACTCCTTCATTTTTCACCCAAACATGGCAACAATAATAAAATAAATAAAATGTAAATAATACAAAAAATATATATTTTCAAAATAGTAAAAGTTCAAATAAAGTAAAACACCAAATGGAATGAATTTTAAATATGCAATGTTAAAAGGTAAAATAAAATAAAACACCAAATTAATGTAATTATAAATATACAATCAAACTGTGGCATCATAAAGCCTTTATGAATTTTAAGAATTTTTTTATGACATATTTTGGTCATACTGTAAAAACTGCCAAAAAAGTTAACCACCAAAAATCGAAATGGACCATCTGAAGTGAGCTCTTGTTGCCATTTTGGTGCGACCTTACAGGCATTTTATTTTTTAGACTTTTCGGGACGATTCGATGACGAGTGCTGGGAAGTTTGTGGGCCATCTATCTCCTCACCTGGCAGCGAGGTGAGTGACGAGCTGCGCATTTGCCGGCACATCATTATTTTCCTTCCTCAACAAGAATTGGTCCTTCATCACTCAAACTTTTTCGAAAGACAAAAAAAAAAAAAAACTCGGATGAATTTCTATTGAGACGTTTGTTTTTAATCTCAGCCATCGATGTGGGCGAGTGGCATCATCGTATCAAATCAATGAGATGAGCGTCCAGTTTATGCACCGAGCGAATGGCCGCGTTGGCGCTTGGGTGCGAGCGAGCCGCTAAAGGCTGTTTTGAGTGGCATAATTGATCAAGTGACGGCCCACTTTTGATTTGACTTTCATTTGATGCGCATGTCTGTGCGGAGTCATCCTTCACTGCCTCCTCTCAGTCACTCCCTCCTTCTTTTCACTTACTCTATAGATTTTCCTCACATGATAAATTGGACTCAGGGAGCCACTGAGGTGTGACCCGGTGCCAGACGACCGGCACGGATTCTCTTTATTTATTTATTCTTTTTGTGCTTTAATATCCCTAATTAGTCTCTTACAGATTGCTGGTGCCCAATGTTGTCAATGATACGCATGCACAAAAATAAAGAACTAAATAAAAATACGGGGTTGGTTTCCTAACCGACTCGCTGGTGAGTTGCGGATTTTGAGAAGATTGGGTGACTTTTACCTAAGATTGGGTTCATTATTTTGATCCAGCCAATTGGATTTTGGTCACTATAGTTTTGTTCGCTGAAGTTGAAGTACATTAAAGGTAGCATTCATGGCTCAGAGGGTAACACCGCAGACTTTGGAAATAGAGATTGGGGTTCAAGTCCTGGTCATGGACAATGAATGGGTGACATCAGGAAGCCAAAAACATCATGCAGTTGACTTTCTGCAGCAACCCCTCACAGGGGCAAGTTACTTCTTCCAAAATGTTGGGAATAAAGTCTGTTGTTGTTACCCATAGCTGTCCTGATAACCCGGTAAGCCATTTCTGGGTTCCTTTAACTCACGGGTGTCAAAGTCAAGGCCCGGGGGCCAGATCTGGCCCGCCACATCATTCGATGTGGCCCGTGAAAGCAAATCAAAGATGGCAACTTTCATGATGCTTGCTAAAATCTTGACCAAAATTTCAAACTCTCATTTGTAATAAATAAGAGCGATACTGGAAGCATTTTCTTGTTGCCAAACCTCTCATTACAGTAACTTTTAAACAATAAATATGAATGAATAAACCGTTAGTCTTGACTTCTTTATATGGTTTCAGTCATAACGGCCCTGCAAGGAAAACGGTAACTAAAATGTGGCCCGCGACAAAAATGAGTTTGACACCCCTGCTTGAACTCATCAGTAAGGACAGTTTTCCTCCCTTTGTTGGATCAAAATCTTAACCCAACGTACTGGATCAAATCCTCAACCCAATGGGTCTAAAAATAACCCAGCATTGTCTCGATTACTTTTGGACCCAGCGCTGGGTTAGCGATCTCACCCAATTTGAGTTAATTTTGACCAAGCAATTTTAAGAGTGCATGCTGGGTCAAATCCTCAAGCCACCGTGTACAGCTATGGTGAGTGGACACAGAATGTGCGTAACCAGCACTTGACAGACTTACTCCCCATTAGAAGTAGCACTGCTGTCAGTGTCAGACGAGTCAGAGAGGGGGGTGGGGGGGGCGCTGTAGAGATGAAGCGGGGAGGTGATGATTTTCACGTCAAAGATGCGAGAATGGAAACGGATGAAATGGTAGACCACACATGATTTTGATGCATACAAATGATTGACTTTTATGGCAAAAATGTTAGCTTGCACAACAAAACAAGCTAGTTGTTTGCCCCAAAACAATTTAGTGAGTTGTTTTTCCTTATACAGTAATCCCTCGTTTATCGCGGAGCTTACGTTCCAAAAAGAACCAGTGATAGGTGAAATCCGTGAAGTAGTGAGCTTTATTTTTTACAGTTATTATACAATACTGAACTATGTATACAATGAAACCAAAGACCAAAACCTGTTTTCAGG